TTTCCCAGATCCAAATCTAGTTTTCACTATAGTTTTTATTTCTCATATTGTGCTGATCCCACCTTTGCTGCACCAAAGAAAGAATATCATGTTCTGTCATTACACAAGAAAGCTATCCCATGGTAACCCTGATCGTTTCTGTATTTAAATTTCTATGGTATGCTACGGCATTATTTTTAAACAACTGAATTATTGTTCTAGTTTCTAGAAAATACAACAAAGGCTTAGTTTTCTAAGTTTTCCCATTTAAAACATTTAAACGTAGGCACAGCCTACCAGAGTTCTCCCATTCCTAACCACAGACACAAATCAAAGATGAGTATGTAGCACCACCTTCTGGTCAATACAGGACAAGCACACATTTACCGAGGAAAACAGCAAATTCAAGATACTACTAGTTACATTCTAGGCCACTGAAAATCAACTAAGTAATGTTTGTTGCATTATATTTACAACTTCCAAGCTGCTAAAAAAATAAGTTATAATGGCCAGCTGTTTCAAGCATTAAAAGATAGGTTGAAGCACGAAGGAGAAAAGGGTGTGCGATTTCTCAGCGTTAAAAAAGGGGGGGAGGGGCAATTAATATAAATTGGGCCCTAGTGGTCTATCCCACTAGCAGCAAATAATTTTCAATATTTATAAAAATAAAACATACAATATATGCGTTACATGCTGGCCACATCCATGCCCGGTTTAGTGAAGGGGGGGGAAGTCCCAATACATCACATGACACCACCATAACAACGTGAGTTTGACACCCCTTGTTCTAAGATAACCTGGTTATGCCTTCTTTCATTCAACCATTCAACTAATAAGTTAGAATAGAATAGAATTCTTAATTGGCCAAGTGTGATTGGGCACACAAGGAGTCTTGGTGCATACGCTCTCGGAGTATATAAGAGAAGAGATATATTCATCAAGAAAACTTTCCAATAGGAAGGGCTAGGACAAAAACTTTGGTTTTGGTTTCATCTAATTTAATTTACATACAGTGAATGTGATTACTCCTCAAATATTGAATAGTTTTTCTCATCTGCCACATTTTTAAAAATGTAGTCATTACAGACATTTTAGGAGCTGCAGACAAGATTTCCAGGACTTCGTATGTCCCTCAGCTGCATATCATTAAATTAAAGATGGAGAACACCTGGCCCATTTACAAAAGCCCTTTTAAGCAGCTGGCTCAACCCAGCTGTAACAGCTGACCCACCCTAACAAACATCAGTAAAACACAGTAAAGAATAAACAAAGATGAAATGGGTGGTGCTCAAAATCTTTATGATCAGTGCTACAAGATTTTGGGAAATGTATAAATAAGTGGAAATTTACTATAAAAGGAAGAGAGAACTATACGGTGGGGGAGGAATCCTTAGTGCTCTCTGAACTTGATTGTTTTCTTGCAGACATATTGTTACCAAACTAACACTGATGATGTTACCTAGTTTGGTAATGAAACATCTGTAAGAAAACAGCCAAGCTCCGAGAGCACCAAGGACTCTTCATTCCAACCCTGAGCTACAAATATTCTCCTTTATTGGGGAAGTGTTTTAGAAGATCACAGATCCTCACTCCTGAACTGCCTATGTGATTCTCACTTAGGATGACTTGATTTCTTGCATCCTAAACTAGTTTGTTCCCACTGTAGGAAGAATATTTTGCTTTTGCAGAGGCTCCTATTTTCCAGTGCAAACATAGCAAAGAGGTTTTTTTTTTTTAACTGTATTTGGCTGATAAAAGAAAGAAGCACAAGTGGGGGAAAAAAAGAGCCAGGCTCTGAGATTTCTGAGATCAGCAGTATTATGAAACTGTTCGTCAGTGCTTCTCGTCTCAGAGGCTCTGGCCAATTCCCAATGCAACTGTAAGGAAGAGCTGTTTGGAACAAAGTAGAGCCAGCCAGCCATGATCGTATAGTGGTTAGTACTCTGCGTTGTGGCCGCAGCAACCTCGGTTCGAATCCGAGTCATGGCATCAAATGGCAAGCGCATGAATTTTTTAAAATCTATTTCAGGAAAAAGCTAAAGACTTCCTGCGAGCCGTATTCATATATAGCCACATTACTGGACCCTAAAGCGTACGTTCTGAATACATTACTTTGAGAGTGTGTCGTTACATTTAAAACATTTATATGTTGCTTTTCTGCTCATTAATTTGGGAGCAGAGAAGATGAAGAATAGTTTCTTATTTGCACAACCTCCTATATGTTTTCCATTGTGTAATGTATACATGTAACAGTACACAGTTTTAAAATTCATATAAAAAGTTGGCAGGTCAGTAATATACCATTTTCAGCTATAAAATATATTTAACATAGATTAAGTTTATATAAATGTAAAATGGCATTCGTAACAATAATAACCAATCTTTCCACCCTCTTTTGGGGGGGGGTGTTTTATACTCCAAAAAGTACGGTAGTAACTCATAATTTACAATTTCAAGAAAGTTTTTTATTACCCGTGTTACAGAATTTGTTCTTAACAAATAAGCATAGCTATCAATTGTTCCTGTCATGAGCACATAAAGACTATCATGTTTCCCCCAAAATAAGACCCTATCTTATATATTTTTGAACCCCAATATAAGGGTTTGGCCTTATTATCAGGGGGGTCGTATTATTTTGGGGGTGCAGGAGACAGCGAGCATGGCCGCCTCATGGCTTCTGCTGTGTTGCGCTGCTGTGGCAACAGCCACTCGTCAGCTGTTTGCTGGGGCAACCAAAGGTGAGAATCTCCCCAGCGTACTTGGCACTTGCCCGCCTCCCATCCATCCATTCATCCCCCTTGCCTGCAAACTCCCACCCCACTCCCACCTCTCTGCTGGGCGACCCACAGCAGCCCCAGACGGTCAAAGTCTGCACTCGCCCAGCTCCCTTTCCCACAGCACCCGGCTCTTTATCAAGGGGGGTGGCATGTGGGGCGGGGAGAAGCAAGATGCGTGGAGTGAAACAGGGCTTGCTCCTCTTGCCGTCTTTTCTCCCCCCCCTCGCCAGGGTCTGGGGAGATGCGAAACATGCATCTTACCTGCCTTGCAGCTCTCTCGCATGTCTCGCTGTTGTCTGCTTGTAGACACATTGTAGGGTAAAACCAAACTTCTCGCGAGTTCGAAAAGTTTGATTGAACTCGCAAGGTTTCTTTTACCGTACAATGTGTTTGCCTGCAGACAACAGCAAGACACACAACAGAGCTACAAGGCAGGTAAGACACATTTCATGTCTCCCCAGCCCCACCCCTCCCCACTTGCCACCCCCAAATTGCATCCAATTTGGGCAGGGGCAGGAAGCCCTGCCATGCCCGGCAAGAGGGGGAGAAGAGACAGCAAGAAGAGCGAGCCCTGTCTCGCTCCATGTGTCTCGCTTCTCCCCCACCCCCCTCAATAAACAGCCATGCACTGTGGAAAAGGGAGCCAGGCGGGCATGGGCTTGGGCATCTGGGGCTGCCGGGAGTCACCTGGCGGAGAGGCGGGAGCAGGGCGGGAGTTTGCAAGCGATCGCTTCCCCTTTGCCTTCTCTCCCAAAAGCGCTCCTCAGGCGCAGCCACTTCTGCAGCAGGAGACTCGCATCTCACACCGGCCTTCTGAAGGGTATCATAGCAGCAGCTATCCACAATTGGTTAATCCTTATTTGTCCTGACCCATGTGGCCCAGTACGGTTGGGATGAAATAAGGGTAAAAAAATTGTGGATAACTGCTGCTACAGTCCTGTTTGGGCGGCTGCCGTGAGGCACATGGGGCACATTGTTTAGCCTCCTGCTGCAGAAGTGGCCACAATCCATGGCGCTTCCTGGAGGGCTTATTTTTGGGGGAGGGTGTATATTTATGCCCACCCCAGAAATCAGGCTTGGCCTTATTTTCGGAACATGTCCTATTTTCGGGAAAACACGGTACTAGAAACAGGATGATAATTATCAATTGTTCAAAATGTATTGTGAAAGGAGCAACAGTGTGTGTGTGTGTTTGTGTGTGTGTTCATTCTCCGACCTTGTGGGTTAATTTCCAAACATTTTGTTACCAGGCTAGGTAACATCTTCAGCGGTGTTTAAGGGGCGTCAGTGTTCTTCTGTTTATAAGGGCTTCAGGTTTCGGTGTGTCAAGTGAGGGTCTTGTGATAAGATTACATCAGGTCAGGGTCATTGCGAGGTGAACTGGTGAGGAGGGTTGCGTGGGTTGGTTGAGGGTCGGTGCTGTCTCTGGTTGGATTTGGATTCTGAGGGGTTCGTAGGCTGATGGTAGGTTAATGTGTCTGTTGATAGACTTGCTTGTGGAGTGTCATGACAAGGCTCACTGATGACTCACAACTGACCCATCACAAGACCCTCACTTGACACACCCACATCTGAAGCCCTTATAAACAGAAGAACACTGACACTGACATCCCCTAAACTCCGCTGAAGATGTTACCTAGACTGGTAACGAAATGTTCGGAAACCAACCCACAAGCTCAGAGAACGAACCATCACCCTCATCCTATATAAGGCAGGACGTATGCAATAAATCTCCCCATTTCTAGAACCAGAACTACAAAGGAACATTCCCAGCCAAAGGATTAGCAGTTCTGAGCAAGATACTTTTGCATTAAGAAAGAACTGACATTTTCAAAATGTGATTTAAACAACAACAACAAATTTGCTGTTGGAAGTTTTCAATATGAATCCTGATAATATTCTTTCAATCCTTCAATATTATTCTTAAAGCTTTCATCTGCAGACTAAAACTTAAAAATAGGAATATTAGTTTTAGAACCCTTTTGAAGTTCCCAATGATTTATAACTTACAGAGTCACACACCTAGTAATGCACACACAGAACCAGTTGGTTAATTTATGTGCTAGTAATGAGAAGCTGCCTGTATTTCATCCCATTTGATTAGTCTTTATGAATTGGTACTTTTTTCCAACAGTAAAGCATTCTAATATTCCCTTTTCTCAAAACTAGGATTTCTTTAAAGATTACAGTCATTATCTCCCAACAACTAAGATTTCAAGTTTTGGCACAAAATGGAAAAAAGAATGCCCTTAATTTTTTTTTTAATGAAAAGTTTCATTAGATGTAATATTTGGTACAGGAAGGTATATAATTTATACTTTGGCTGAAATGTAACTATTCAAATTACAGTTCATTAAAAGAGATTGAACAAATAGTCCACGAACAGAAAAAAGAGAAGAAATTTAGTCTTTTTTTTTTTCCGCTTTAGGTCCATTATAAAATAAATGTTTTAGTTTGATCTTCAAAGGCAGCTTTTCTGTGGCTGAACAGAGCAAAAAATTAAATAAACCAGGAAGGATCAAGCTGAGCTAATGCAATACCATGCTTCAGCTACAGCAGTTTGCCATCTGATTACGGGCACAGGTCAAACAAGACGGCTTCAAAAAGAGAGGAGGGTTTTGTGGATAATTTCAATGCACTCTCTGATCTCGTCTTCCTTGATCACTAGTGGGGGAGCCAACCGGATTATATCTCCATGTGTCGGCTTGGCCAGCAGTCCATTGTCACGGAGTCTCAGGCACACTTTCCAGGCATCCCAATCTTCAGAAAGATTAAAAAGAAAAAAGATTGACAATTTTTCCTTAGAATCCAAATCTAATACCATATGAAGCACTCCACAAATAGGTTGCGGTTTTATTTGAGTTCATTTCCGGCGAGGGGACAAAACAATTTTTGAAGAGACTGGAACTACTGAATGGTTGCATGGAGGCAACATATTTGGGGTTTTAGACTTTGCTGTGAATATATTGATAATCTGAATTTGGCAAGAGTTCTCTTGACATTTTCCCTTTTGCACCTATGGCAGAAGTCCTTCCCCAAGCTGGTGCCCTCCTGATATATTAAACTTCAATTCCCAGAACTGGTAAACTCCATCTCAGCTCTTGCACATCACTCCCTTCTTTACAGGCTGCCTAGATATTTTTGTGCTTTAAGGCAGAAGTCTGCAACCGTTGCGGACTGACAGGAAGATGGGAGATGGGATGCTTCTGCATGGGTGGCAGGCAAGCATGCGCATGTAGCTCCATTTGCACCAGCAACGGGCATGTATACCTGCCACTCTCACAAATGGCGCTGCACGCGCTCACCCGCCCACTATGCGCACAAGTGGAACTGTGCATGGGCTCATTCACCTCTTCCACAGCCCAATTCCAAACAGGCCACGGCCTGGTAGTGGTTGGGGACCCCTGCTTTAAGGAAATGTGATGAAGGTGTGAGGGCAGCAGGAGAAAACCATCTTCCCAGTGAAGCTACACCACCCTGATTCCCATCCAAGAAAGATTGAAGGACGCAGTGAATATTTGGATGTTGTTTTAGAACTGGTCCTGTAAATCTTCCTTGAAGGAATGATGAAATGGACTTTCTATCACAAGTGGTAGCACAATATAATGATCATTTTACCTTTAGTTTCCCGAATAACAATAGCATTCAGTAATCCTTTTCCTCTGACTTGAGTGACAATATCTGATGGAGTCTTCATCAGCTCTTTTCTCAATAGGCTGCCCATGATGTCTGCATTTTTAACCAATTCCTCTTCTTCAATGACCTAAAACATTTTTAAAATGAACTTGAAAAGGATGAACACTGGGGATATCATAATAATTTCAATATGAAGTTTTAATATGGAATAGCGCTATGACAGGCAATCAAGAGGTTCCCAAAATTATGCGTGTCTTCTTTCAAAAGACCTAAAACAAATTATATAGAATTACTCTGCAGTGTTTGTTAATATCTGTGTCTCAAAACCTGCAGGTTTCAAGTTACCGAAAAATTCCATTATATTATAAGAAGTTTTCATAAAGGCCTATAATAATAATAATAATAATAATAATAATAAGAAGAAGAAGAAGAAGAAGAAGAAGAAGAAGAAGAAGAAGAAGAAGAAGAAGAAGAAGAAGAAGAGGAGGAGGAAGAGGAGGAAGAGGAGGAAGAAGTAGTTGTTTACTTATATACTGCCTTTCTCCCAAAGGACTTGAGGCGGTGTACAGCAAGAATTAAAACATAAATATACAATATCATAGTTAAAATTAATTAAAATCATTAAATAGTTTTGGCTGAATTTTAAAACCCAAACTTAAAACCCAATTTAAAATCATTCAGTTAGACAGCCCTGCCTGTCGGAACAGTAGGGTCTTGAGGGCACAGCGAAAGATCCGGAGGTCAGAGATGTTACGAATATCCGGGGGCAATTCATTCCAAGGGCAGGAGTTCCGACAGAGAAGGCCCTCCTCCTGGGTGTCGCCAGCCGACATAAGTTGGCCGACGGTACCCTAAGGAGTCCCTCTCTGTGGGAGCGAACTGGTCGGTGGGAGGCTGTTGGTGGCAGAAGGCGGTCCCGTAGATATCCTGGTCCTACTTGCATACCTCAAGTGCTGCCATGGCCACTCGGCAGGCCAGTGGGTTCCCTCCATATGTAGAGCCATGTTCACCAGGTTTTATGGTGAGCATAATTTCATCATCACATAGAACTGCTGACACCTATGGAAGTAGCATGATTGAGAAATTAAAAAAAAAAAAAAATTCAAAATATTTTGTTGCCTACCACCTAAACGCCTGCTGTTTACAGCTAAAGGTAGCAACATAGAACAGTTCATTTCTTAGGTGTTAATTCAGTGTTTTGCTGCCTTATTGCTTCTTGAAAAATGCTAGTGCTGCATCTGCTTTTAGCAATATCTTGGAAAAGTGTCTTGGATCAGCAATACTAAAAGTTTCTCCAATTATTTCTGCTGCAGCCCTAGCCAGTGCCAGCCCAAGCCAGCCGCTATTTATTTATTTATGTTTTCAATTTTTATACGTTGTCCATCTCAAATCCATGCTTAGCACAACAGTGTTAAAAGAAAATCTAAAAGAACAACCAGAAACATAGAAATAGCAACTGAAGTAAAAACTGACTCATAAATCGCCAAAGTATGGGCTCAGCCCCGCCTTCTGTCCTTCAATTGTTTAAGACTTTATGAAAGGCCATCAGGGTCAGAGACAATCTAATCTGTTCAGGGAATGATATTCCAAAGGGCAGGAGTCATGACAAAAAAGACTCTCTTCCTGGCCCCCGCCAGACAGCATTCCTTAGCAGATGGATCATAGAGAATGTTCCGCCATTTCAGTCCCTCCTGCTCAGCTCAAGGCTGTAGTTCATTTCTAAGTTACTCTTGGAAGCCCAAATGATTCGCCAATTAAGATTTTGATATTATCCTATGCTTGGAACTAAGTCCCATAGAGTTCAAGGAAGTTTCCCCTCATGCATTTGTCTCAGAAGTTACAACCCTCCACACAGATTCTCTTCTTGAATTCAGTCAGATGTATCTTTTGCAGCAAATGCACACCCATCAAGGACAACAGACTATATCAGCCCTATAAAACTAAAGACATACTGAAAATTCTTTTCTAACAAATTTGATCTTATTTAAATCCATGAACCTTGTAAGTTCCCTATTCATGTTTTCTCTCTCTTTTTTTCCCTTTTTCTTTTTTCATCTTTCATTTTTTCCTTTCTAAAAAGTGTTTCATGAAAATAAAAAATATATAATTTTTAAAAAGCAACCCTACCTCAGTATATAGAGATCCTTTCTACTAAGATCAGTTTTAATGCAAATTGGCAAGATTTGTGGAAGTCCTACCATGCTGTAAACAACTTCAGGGTAGGAATGTAGTTCAGCGTTCTACAAATTACTCTTATTATGATTAATCTGTTCAAAAATTCAAAAACAAATTCAGAGTACTTTTAAAAAAAAAACAGCACTTACAGGATAAATACCTCCAGACAGCGCCTTTCCAAGCAAAACCACATCGGGTCTAACATTTTCATGATCAACAGCTAACATTTCCCCTGTTCTGGCTAATCCAGTTTGAATTTCATCAGCAATAAAGAGCACCTGTTAATTATAAAGAGAATAAAACAATAGCCTTGTATGTAAATTCAAGAATTAATATTTCTTCAACATACCAAGTTTATTCTAATATTCCAAGCTAATATGATCATATCACAAAGAAATATAATATCTGTATATTGCATAATTTTTAGTGAGGGGCAGCATCCTGGAATCACTACTTTCAATATACAATTTTATATCTGTCTGTCTGCCAATCAATCAATAGAACTACCGATGGCTATAGACCATACTATATTGATTCACCACAGAACCAAAACTAATTAATTAATTTAGAGTTGCTGTGCAATGGTCAGATTTGCGAGGGGAAAAGTGGTTTGGAGGTTATACTTTTCTGCTTGTTATACCTGTTGGCAACTGCTTAAGGAAACTGCACCTTTTATGAGGCTCACATGGCAACAGTCGTGACCACTTGCACCAAATCATTTTTTACTTTCAAAACTGCCACATGGCCCTAACGTCTGCCCTAACGCCATCTATTTCAAAATAATGTACCCCATTTAAAAATTTAAGTGATCCCATCTGTATATACAGACCATTCTCTCAGTGCATATTTCCCTAACAGCAGAAAGAACAAAAGCATGATGGAAGCAGAGAAGGGAACAGAGAGGATGAGAAAGGGAAAACAATATGGGAGGGAGGGAGGGAGGGAGGGAAGAAGGAAGGAGCATTCTAAAAGACTAATCTTTAAAAAAAACCCATGCATTTCCGCAGAAAAGGTCTATAGTCCTTTATAGCTCCTGCTAATCCCTTGTTTTAACTGTATGGAAGTTGATAATACATGCAATTTTTTATCTGAGCCACTATTATGCAGCTAAAACTAAGAAACATGTTTAATATAAAAATGCCGCTAATATTCAACTATGCTGTAACCAAAAGTAAACAAAGTTGTTAAAACAGCCCTGTCAACAAAATCAGTTAGTAAAGGCAGTTTACTTGTTGATTAGAAATGGGTTAAATGTCCAAGCTTAAGAACACATAAAGCATACGCTTCTGTCTGCTTCAGATAGGCACAGAGCAGATAAGATAGTAGAGTTGAGTAATGTGTCCTGTGAGAAAAAGATTCCAACAGAACAATGCAAGCATCACTATTGAGAAAAGGGAACACTGGTTTTTCAAAATGTGTTATACTATTAACTCCAAGGCATTTTGGTTTTTTATACCTAAAATGTAAAATTTTTATACTTTAAGGCCTCAGAAATTTTAGGACAAAGTTTTTAAAAGTTGCCACCAAATTATTAATTCTGACTGAAAGAAAAAGGGGAGATTATGAAACACATAGGGAATACTGTACTAATTATATTTAATCAAAGGTTCTGTCATTTTAAACACCCTAAATTAAATTAAAACCAATTTTAGTTTTGTGTTCTCACCCTATCCATGTTTATATCCTGCCTTTGCCTAGTTTTGAGAATGCAGTCCCCAGCCCAGACATAGCTATGTTGTAGCCCAGTAATGGGTTTTTAGCCCTGAATACAATAACAAAATCCAGAAAATATATCATTTTAGGTATCACAGAATATTGCCAGGCGATATTCTAATGCCATGATGGCGAACTTATGGCACGTGTGCCAGAGGTGGCACGCGGAGCCCTCTCTGCTGGCACACGCACCGTCGCCCCAGGTCAGATCTCCGTGGCGTTTCTTTTGTGAGCTTCTGTTTTCCTGCAAAGGACAAAACAGAAGCTCACGAAAGAAAAAGATCTTACCTCTTGCCGCACTGCCAGTGTTGGGATGTCCCACCTCCCGACGGCCAGCTGGTCTTCGGGTCTCTGCTGCGCATGCACATATATCTGCGTGCATGTCCTCACATGCACAGTCATGCATGTCCATGCATGCGCAGTTATGTGCATGCACACACATGTCCATCCTGCACACACACGCACATGTGCGCACACACTTTTCAGTTTGGGCATGCGCACAGGCAATTTGGGCACTCGGTGTCTAAAAGTTCGCCATCATTGTTCTAATGTGTGCCTTAACATATGTAATAGCAATAGAGAATTCCTTCTTCTGCTCTAAAAAGATACTAGGGTGTCGGTTAATTACAAAGCTTGGCCATTTCCCAAACTTTAAGTATTCTCATTTTAGAACATCTGACAAAGTGAATTGTTAGTTTATGAAAGTTTATGACTTTTAATGAAATTTGCTAGTCTGAAAGGGTGTTATCAGATCTCTTCTGACTTTTGACTACCATAGACTAACATGCTTCCTTACAATGTCTTTTGGGTACAATCACTTACATTATGCTTTGTGCAAAGTTCTCGCACTCCTGTGAGATAACCTTTATCAGGAACAACCACACCAGCTTCACCTTGAATCGGTTCTACCATAAAGGCCGCAACATTTGGATCTTGAAGCGCACGCTAAAAGGACAAACACATTTGTAGAGTAATCAGAATCACTAAATACAACTCAGAAGTGGGGCAATTCTAATCTTGGCTAAGATCTGCAACCAAAACATACTGAATCTTATTTCTGAATAAGTGAGCTCATACCAGATTCTTTTAATTGTTAAAAAAATGTAGATTTTATTCAGTGTAACACACAAGCATATGTCACTATCCATATAAAGAATTCGATTTTGTGGCACTTTACATTAACATTGGTTTGAAATAGTCTCAGTGTGAGAAATGTATAGAATAACGTTATAAAGTGGAATGCACTTGAGAAAAAAAAACTGCAATAGTTTAAACAATACCTGAAAAATATATGCCAATGAATAGCCCTTAATATTCCTCTTCTCCAGTTCTTAGTGGTAAATTTTTGAGGGGCACATTTCTCCCTATACTAACTTAACCAGAAGTTGAAATTTTCGTTAGAAACAAGTGAAACTTTAATAAAAAGTTGGCCCTTTGTTGGCCCTTTGTTTCTGCTTCTCTTTTCCTCAATCGATACACTTTTTGTATCTACTTTGCCTTATTTTCATTTTGCTTTGCTCTCTTTGTGTTTGTATTATCCGCTCTCCCTGCCTTCTCCACAAGTTGAGAGCCAGCATCTCAGTCCCTTCATCATGAATCATATTCAAATTGGCATAGGTTTTCATGGCCAGTGTCAATTCGGCAGCACTGGGTTTCTAAACCTTGAAGCCCAACACTGACCATATTCACACTGCTCAACAGGTTGTACCTCATCTTTACATCCTTTCTTCCTTTCAACATATATTGTATACGGCCACTTCACCTTTTCAATTCTGAAGTGCTTGCTTCCATTTTTAAACATTTTATTGAATTCTACAGTACATACCAATATAGCAGAATCCTTCTTTTTGTCATATTTGGCTCCAGAGCAGCCAAATATGTAGGAACATATTTGGATCCCAAAAGAATTTTTCCCACTTGATAGACAGAGAGGGTGGAGTTTTGTGCATAACTCTACTATAAACTATTATAAAACCATTTTCTGTTACTAAGCTATGTGCTCTTAGGCTGAAGCAGTTCAATTCTATCACCACTCTATGAGAAAATTCATTCATATGCAAGTCCACATCTCATAAGCAGGATCACTTGCAGGGGTATCCAACCTTGGCAACTTTAAGCCTGGCGGACTTCAACTCCCAGAATTCCCCAGCCAGCAAAGGGGAATTCTGGGAGTTGAAGTCCACAGGCTTAAAATTGCCAAGATTGGAGACTCCTGACTTAAAGTAACCTCCATGTGCAATTTTTATACTTAAGACATTATTCAGAACCAATTCTGGAAAAGCTATTCCAGTCTTCCAGGACAGCTTCCATAAAACGAAAGTACATTTAGCTAAATATCTTCCAACATAGACTGGGAAACTGTGAGGTACCTCAAGAGCAGGCAAATCATTGTAGGAAATTACTTCAAAACCTGGCATAAATGGTCCAAACCCATCATAGCTGGAAGGATCTGTAGAGCTTGAGATTGCTGATAATGTTCTTCCCCAAAAGTTGCCAGCTAGTGAGGGGTGGGGGAAAGAAGAGTACATTAAGAGAAGTAACTATATTTACTGTTCAGTTATGCAGATAATAAAAGGTATGAGTAACTATATGTTCAAAATGCATTGTCACCTTTATTGTGGATAAATATAGATCGAATTCCTCCATCTTGATGATTTCTGTCACAATTTTGTTACATTTGTTTTTGATACCATGCTACAGCTAACACAGTTTAACCTACATTTTTCATTTCCAACTATAACAGAATGCTGCTATCTAATATAGACTCGTAAGAAGGGGCATTCATCTTTACATTACAAACACCTTGCAATATAATAACACCAAGGTCATGAATGGCAAACGATAGCAATTAAAACTGAGTGCATGGAGTACCAACCTAATTGGAGCAGATCCCAAAGCAGCCTTGACCATTGTTTTCTATTGTTATGATGAATAGAACCATACATTTTACATATTTTATAATTTTGAACTTTAAATTACATGACCATCATAAACCTCCAGCACTACTATTATTATACAAGAGAACTCTTCTGCTTTGTTAACTATACATGCTTCTTAAGAATTTCAGCCAACATACTGATTCTAGATGGCTGGCATGTAATACAATTCTCAATGTTAATACAAAGTCCCAATAAATATGAAGTTTTTCCACTTCCAATTAATCTATTTACAACTACAGTTTCAACCTGACAGCAACTTAAAGCAAGATTTGTCTTAATGCCATAGAAACTTATAACAGTTAACATATTCATTACAAATGCTATTTTATAACAATAACACATAACATACTGCATATTCTTTGAAACAGTATGACATATTAAGATGTCATGCTTGATGTTTAACCAAAACACCCAGAATCTCTTCTTAAATGCAAAAGTATTCCTCATCTGATGTTTTGTTCTAGTTTCATTTGCTGGCTTATGAGTGCTTTCGCTTTACTGTTGCTTTTCATAATCTGTAATTGATTACTCACCTGCAAAAATAATCTTTGCTTTGTATTTTGGAATACCTTTCACTGTGTAAGCCCATTTACGAGCCAGCTTGCATGCTGTTTCTCCAGCCTCCACACCTAAGACAAAGAACACATAGATGGGAAGGAAAGCAGGAAATAAACATTGCAGAGCTCATGGTGCTCTCTCTTGGTTTGCTTTCAGACATTTCATTAACTGACTAGGTAACATCATTAGTGCAAGTGAGTGTGGGACTTGCTCCCTGTTTAGAGACAATAGCTTGCCTTGCCAGTGTTGGTGGGGGTATAGGTTTCTTCTTGGTAGTTCCTTGATTGTGGTACTGCTTTCTACTTGCTTGTTTCTCTGGTGCTAATCCCTGTTTATCTGGTTGTTGGCTGCTGGAGAGGATATGTTCTAGTCACATAGACACATAGAGACATTTATGTACCATTCAAAAGAGACAATAAAAAAGCTCAGAAGGAAACAAAAAGACCAGTCCATTCTATTTATGGCACTCTCCCTTGCTCAATTACAGTTTGAGCTTTCTCTTCTAAGCACTAGAAGATTCTTATTTCTGTGCTGCTGCCACTCTTGTTTATACTGTGAAATTGTTGGAAGTCCATGTAGCAGCTTTATGGCTGACCCTGTTTGGGCTCAGAAGCAAGGACTGGCTTGGGTAGCCTTGAATAGGAGACCAACATATAATACCAGAGTTGCAGACTAAAGTAGAAAGTTTAAAGATAATCCAAACAAAACACTGGCAAACCATATTCATATTACTGTGAAAAAAGAAAACTATTTTTCAGGCTTTTTCAGGGGCAGGCACTATCATAGGATTTTTCTACAATATCCAAAGCACCCAATATATGGATTTTTTTTTAAAAAAAAAAATTAATTAAATCTTTAATTATTATTTTCTTTTCAATATTTTTGGCCTGCAAGTGCCATCTAGTGATTTCACAGATGGTATGGTATCTAAGGCAGTCCAGATGTCAAATATATTTATTTAATCTATGTACGTGGCGGCTCAACTGGCAAATTATGGCTTTGGGTAACTAAGATTTTTTTAAAAAAACTGAAAATGTAAACCAATAAGGTAAAAATAACATAAAAGGACACAGAATCTCTACCTTACAGAGATCCAGAAAAAGAAAGTAAAAGAGTCATGGCTCTGGAAAAAAAACTTAAAAACAAAGGTAGCACCTGATTCTTGATAAATAAATAAAAATACAGTAGTTTTATTTGTACTTCTCTTCTCAACGGAAAATGTGAGAGGTTGATTCCCTACAGGAAGACCATCCTAGTTGGGATATGGAGGAGTCAGCACCATGCAATGTATTTTGATTTTTTTTTAATTTGTCATTGTTTTTACTTTATTTTAATTCTGTTCTAGCCAGAATCACTTGTTGAGAGGAGCAGCCATATAAACTGAATGAGTGACTGAACAAAGTCATTCTCTCTCTTAATGGGATCAGACACAGAATGTTGTGTCCAACCAGATTTCCATGGTGCCGGGAACTAAGTTCATGTTTTAGAATTTGCAGCTTGCTTCTGTAACACAGATGTTATCCAGATGCTTATTTCCATTCTGATTGGAGGAGATGTCAACAAATGTTACCTGTGTTCATTGGAAGCACTTTGTTGTATTTGAACATTTTCGTGATATATTCTTCATATTCACCAAGCACGTCATTATAAAATGCTCTTGAGGTAAGAGTAAGTTTTTCACACTGGGATTTCAAAGCGGCTACAATCTTTGGGTGACAATGACCTTGATTGACAGCGCTGTAAGAACTTAAGAAATCAAAATATTTTTTGCCTTCTACGTCCCACACGTAAACACCTGGAAAGGAATTAAAACAAGCAAAATTTAGTTGTTTCAAGGTGCTCTATCTGCATGAAAAAAAAAAATTAAGCAGCTATCAATTGACATGTGACAAATACAGTACAAGTAGTCCTCAACTTACAATAGTTCATTTGGTGACCATTCAAAGTTACAACAGCGCTGAAAAAGTTGACTGATGACCATTTTTCATACTTCTGTCAATTGCAGCATCCCCATGATCACATGATTTACATTCGGATCTTGACAACTTGTTCGTATTTGTGATGGTTGCAGTGTCCCGGGGTCATTTGATCACCTTTTGTGACCTTCTGACAAATAGAGTCAATAGGAAAGCCAGAATCACTTAACAACCATGTTCCTAATTTAACAGCTGCAGTGATTCACTTAACAACTGTAGCAAGAAAAGCCGTAAATCGGTGCAAAACTCACTTAACAAATTTCTCACTTAGCAATCTAAATTTTGGGGTCAATTGTGGTTGTAAATCAAGGACTACTTGTACTGCTGGAAGTTGAAATCATATTCTCAATCACCTAGAATCCGACTGAACAAAATGAGATTTACTTTTAAGTAGTTGTGCAGAGGCTGCATTGAAAGTCATTTATCTGATAAAACCATAGTTACGTAATCAAGATTTCTAAAGTCGCATTTCAGCACAAAGACACTTTGTAAATGAAATCATTTTGTTTAGCAAAACTTAATCAGAATGATAATAGTATAGAGTTCATCTTTTCTCATTTCTGGCAAGGTTTGAACACAAGAATTAAAAGTTTATCTTTTATAGCCTGGGTTGCATTCACAGAAAATTAGCCCAGTGAGTAGAGTGATAATGTAATATAAATGAAGTTGTGCTGTGACAAATTTTCTGATACTTAGACCATGTTAAAGTCTGAAAATTCAAGTTGATAAAATGAAATACCAAGAATGATCCTCTCCCTTTGAAAATGACTCTGGGCATACTTTTGCTAAGAAAAACTTTCTCATTTGAGTGAACTGCCAGGTTTCTTCCTTCATTAGCGCTAATCAGGGTTTACTTTTTTGATGCATTCTATAGCAGGAGTTTGGGACAACTCTACCCCATTATTTCCCCCATTCTCCAAGAGTGATAATGCATGCTGGAACAAATAAGAAGAGGAGCTGCACACAATTTAGAAGTATCTCTGGTTTATGATCATCTGGCAATGTCGACCATATATAGCATTCTATATTTTCGTTAAGAGAAACTATCATTAATTGATATAGACATCAAGCGCAAAAAATCCATTCCAAAGACAGTAATTCATTATTGGTTAAAACACCAGCTTCTAAATGACCAGCTTTCCCCAAAAAATCAGGAAAACAGGAGGGCATGATTTCTTCAAAGGGTGTGTGAAACCTATATTTCCCTACATCAGACATGTCAAGCACGCGGCCCAGATCCAGCCCACGATAGGCCCAGAGTTGTCCCCCGGGGCTGTCCCATGCATGGCAAAGGACCAGCCCTGCCACCCCGGTCCCCCCCGGCTATGCTCACCCAGTCAGCCGTGACAACTAGGCCACGCCCACCCCATCCCCCCAAGGGCAAACAAAATCCTGATGCGGCCCGCAATGGGATCAGATTTGACACTCTGCCCTATGTATCGTGATGATTTGTCTATACTTAGTCCTTACCCCTTATTTTAATTCATTGTCTAAAATGTCGTTTCTATCCAAATCTAACATAGGGTAGATCTTTCTGTTATATGAAAGCTCACAATGCACTTAAATGTAATTTCTAACCAAATTAACATAGGGTAGATCTTTGAGTTATAGGAAAGCTCACAACAGGTTTAAATATAAATATCTTGCATCAGCTGATATAATGGCACCAAGGGAAGGTTGCTTACTTTCACATTTGCAAAGTAAGCAGAAGACTAGATAGCTGCATTTCTCTCCCATAATAATATGTTTCAGCCGGCTGCAAGATACCAAGACAAAACAATTGTGTACTTGTCCTTAAGGAAGCACATTACTTCTTACTTATCTAGTTGCCAAGCACACTGTCAGTGAGACAATATTATTACACAAACCTGCTAATGTGCAGCTGTAAACCAGTAAAATAGTTGACCTACAAACTGTTTCCAGCTGCTTGTGTTGTACAACAAGCTTTTATCTAACATTATGAGGCTATAGAGTAGCAAGAAAATAGTTAGACTTTGACACCATTTAAGCTTCTAATTAAACCGATGATAACATTCTCACAAAGTAGTGAAGCTTGCTAAAAAGCAGCGGCACCATGGATAAGGTGGCAAGTGTTGCAAATTATTGGTGCCCTAAATCCTGGGCAGCCTCGTAAAATATGCTCTGTCTTTGTAGAAAGGCAAAACCAAAGGCCCCGTAATTTTTACAACGGGAAACAGAAGGAGGATGAGAGAGATGAGAGGGAAAGAATCAGATATTAAAATTCTGTTCCTGTTTACAGATTTGAATCTGAACATAAATCTCAACTGAAACTCTTATGCTAGTTTCATTTGCTTTTTAGTACTTTATTCAGGTTATTCAGTGGACTAATAATACAAGGAGAAATATTAAGTGTTCCAACCGTCCCAAATAAAAAAATAGATGGGGAAGAGACACCTGCACCACCAAGAAACGTTAACATTTCTCACACAACTAGTAGTATATTTTTAACAGGAAGGAGGCACTGGCTGGGGAGATTTTCTGTATTTCTGAAAGCTTAAGCAGCATTCAAAAAAAAAATCTCGGTCAGAACTGACTCTTTCCATCATTCTCTTATTTATGGATGAAGCTGTAGCAATAGTCTCAGCTTAACTTCAAGCAGTCATTTCTACAGCTGAACGGTCTTGCCCAACTCTTATTTGCGACACAGTATCTGATGGGTTTTCAAAATACTTATCTTCTTCTTTAAACATGATATGCTTTTGCAATAGCAGCCTTTGGACCAATGATTTGCATTTTGTTTTCCATAGGTCAACTATGTCTTTAACAGAATAACAGGGTTGGAAGAGACCTTGGAGGTCTACTAGTCCAACCCCCTGCTCAAGCAGGAAACTCTATACCATTTCAGACAAATGGTTGTCCAATCTGTTCTTAAAAACCTTCAATGTTGAAGCATCCACAATTTCTGGAGGCAACTCGTTTCACCGATTAATTGTTCTGTCAGGAAATTTCGACTTAGTTCCAGGTTGGTTTATAATTACTGCAATTCTCATTATGGCTACAGATAAACATACAACTATAGATAGACCTCAGTTAACTACAGGGATCAGCAACTCTGCTGGTAATAGAAAAATCACAAGATCATAGTGATTTATGAGAGCAGTTGTAGACATTAACTGAATTGCATGTGGTCATTAAGCATGTCACATGATTGGGCCTTCTTGTCAGCTTCCCCACTGTCTTTACTGTAGTGGCCCCCAACCTTTTGGGCACCAGGAACCATGGAGAGAGGGTTTTCCGTGGACCAGAGGGGGTGTGGTTTCATGTGCTGCCTACGTCCTATCGATGGGGCTTCGCTTGTTTGTGCGGCCCAGTTTCTGGCATGCCGCAGATTGGTGCCAGTCCACAGATCGGGGGTTGGGGACTCCTGTTTTACCGTACTTGTCAGAAACTAGCAGTGAAGCAAATGGTGATCATGTGATCGCAGGACACTACAACCCAATTACATGTTAGTGGGTTAGGACTAGGGCTGCCTAATCATGATCAAATTACTGTGGAGACACCACAACTATGGTTATAAGTCTCCTCATTCAGCACCATTGTAACTTTAAATGGTCATACTTGTGGTTGCTAAGCAAGGATTAACTGTACAGCTAACTTCCTCAATTTGCATATACCTCAATTTTTTCAGCCTAACGCTCGCTAAATAAATGAGGCTATTAATTGCCTCAGGCAACATGACCAACAATATCATACAAGTAACTATGTCAGAAATATGCCAGGGCTCCAGGTAAATTCAGTTTTGAATTTACATTTTCTCTCCACCAAGATTATTAGTAGCATTTGTCAGGTGAATCATCAGCCCAGCAGCAACGAGCTTACAGGGAAAAGAAAAATTTGGATATTCATGCAAATATCTGGAACAGGCCTTCAGGAAAATTAGGAAAAATGTGTGCTGTGCTCTTTAGCATACATTTATCCAGTTATAGACACAGGTTTCTCTCATATGATACACAAAAATAGCTGATTAAATACCGGCCAATATTCTAACGAAGAAAATGCTGCTCTGGAATTGAAATTTGACAATTTTTCTAAAACAGTTTATGACATAAAAATTACCATGAAACAGTTTGTGACATAACGCAAAATGCTATAAGCATTTCCAGTGCTGATGTTTGACCATGACATTTTCAAAGCAAATACACCTCTGAATGGATCCCAAAATCCATTAAGAACATTTTTCCACTTTGCTAATAGCAATAGCACTTAGACTTATATACCGCTTCACAGTGCTTTATAGCCCTCTCTAAGTGGTTTACAGAGTCAGCATATATTGCCCCCAACAATCTGGGTCCTCATTTTACCTACCTCGGAAGGATGGAAGGCTGAGTCAACCTTGAGCCTCGTGAGATTCGATCTGCCAAACTGCTGGCAGCCAGAAGTAGCCTGCAGTACTGCACTCTAACCACTGCGCCACCACGGCTCTAAAACAAGGCAAGGATTTTTTTCCATGGAGTTTTTACAGGCAATTCATTGTAATTGCTCTACAACCCTAACCATATGACCATTCCAACAGAGAGAGAGAGTTGACAAGAGGCAAATACTTATGTACAAATAAACCCTGTTTAATTGCCTACAATTTCATAAAAACAAGGTTATTTTTTTCCTTCCTCAAAATAGCATTGGCATCATTTCAGGAAGTGAGCAATACTTTATATATGAAGTAAAATCTTCTGCTTAGCTCTGAAAGCAGAGACAGGACTCTCTCACTCTCTCTTGTCTCCTGTCCCAACCTTGATTTTTCATATGCACAATCTATTACAATATTATCATGTGAAGATCACTCATACTAGAATTAGGATTTTGTGGGTTTGGGGTTTGTTTTGTTTTGGGTTTTTTTGCTTATTGGGACTTTTGAAATTTTGAAAAGATACTGTGATTCTAACAAAATGACTGTCATCGGGAGACTGATATACTGTAGTTGGTTCACTGGAAGAGAGGTTTGTCTGCATCTTCCTCAACTATCATCAGGATGTTCCTTGCTACTCAGTGGGTTTTGGGTTCTTTTCCCCCAGACAGAGGAGAACTGTTGCAAATAATTACAATGTTTTCCCTGTATGGAATCCAAGTTATATTTGTATATGTCATAAGCATTTCCTGTGCTGAGGTTTAACCGTGACATTTTCAAGGCAGATACATTCCTGAATGGATCCCAACTTTTCCAATGAAGACAGCATATTTCTGTCATTGGCAATATAGTCCTCTCATTATTGGTCACATCATTGTTGAAGCTGTATCAGAATCTGGTAAGGAACCAGATTTGTTTAGTACTAAATATAGGTAGTCCTCAACTTACAACCACAATTGAGCTCAAAATTTATGTTGCTGAATGAGAAATTTGTTAAGTGAGTTTTGTCCCATTTTACGACTTTTCTTGCCACATTTGTTAAGTGAATCACTGCAGTTCTTAAATTAGTAACACAGTTGTAAAATGAATCTGGTTTCCCCACTGACTTTGCTTGTCAGAAGGTTGCAAAAAGTGATCATATGACCCAGGGACACTGCGGCAGTCATATATGTGAGTCAGTAGCCAAGATCTGAATTTTGATCGCGTATCCAATGGAGATGCTGCAATAGTCATAAGTGTGAAAAATGCACATAAGTCACTTTTTTCTGTGCCGTTGTAAGTTTGAACGGTCACTAAGCAAACTGTTGTAAATCGAGGACTATCTGTAAGGCCCAATGTGAATATAACACTTGTTTCTAATAAATACTGTATTTTCCCTTTTTTAGATACTCATTACGAAATAAGGGATCACTTCTAGTTTTACATGCATTAGAGAAAAATATCAGATCGATAAGGCTGGTACCCTCCTTTGTATTGTAGCTGTCAACCATGTCAGAAGCTGTTAAGAGGTACAGAATACTTCTGACTTTCTGCAAAGGTTGAAGACAACCAACATTATTTTTGCAGATTCTTAGCATATATCAAATTACTTTTAGCATGAAACTTTGAAAATAATGGCCAATTACTGAAGTATCAATGTTTAAAATCTATAGTGGGTTGCAGATTTATGCTACGGCATGTTTACTGCATAAAAATATTAAATGTCAATAAATGTCAATTTAGTACTAAAGGAATCTTCAGTACTAACTGGTCGTATCTGCCAGAAGCAAAGCCATTTACAAGAATTCTCTTTAGTGTGAAAACAGAAGTAGGCTACAGGCATCACACAGTGAAATAGGAGTTGCTTTCCGGGATTAATCTATTGAAACGTGGCATTTACATGTTCCCCCAGGTTTAAAAGTGTTGATGCTGTATCCACTAAGCTGGTTGTAAATGCCAAGTCATACTTAGAAGGACAGAAATAGAGAAAGAGCTACGGATTTGTTTCAATCAATGACGTTGGTAACCTATTTCCTATAACATAAATATAAATGTATGCCAAATTTCACTGGGAAAGAAAAGATAGCAACCACAGGCAAAATCAATGTTGCAGTGCCAGATATACAAATTATAAAAGCCATAGTCCAAAATGACTCTGTATCTTGCACATACACTATGGGGGCTGAAAGGGAAATCCATTTAGACTGTCACTGGGTGGATTCAAATATTCAGTAATCCACAATTTTAGTTATTATTTGCTGACTAGGACACTATCACCCTAAACCATAAACCATAGTTAAACAATGATTGAGACCATACAATATGTTAAACAGAATAATAAGTCATATAATAAGTTAACCATACTAATAATAAAAACTCAAGTTATGGTTTAATATGATATGTGAATCTAACCAATTCATCAAAAGAGAACAGGGAACCTAGAACACAAGTTGATATAACTATTTGCCCCCATATGGCATGCTATTATGTTCTATTTTTTACTGATGTCAACTTCCTTCATCCTGAACTCCATACTTTACTCTTCCTGAAGCAGATATAAAATTCAGAGGAAGAATGTTATTCTAACTATAGCATCCCAGCTATCATTCCTCAAAAAGCAAATTAATGACAAAACGACAATTCCAGGTCACTTAAAGAAGACCGCCTCTCTCTCAGGAACCTTTAAGTTCTTCCATCACATTAATATCTTAGCTAGAAAAAGCTGCAGGATGCTTGTAATACTTAGATCAGGAATCTTTGGGGCACAGCACAGCCATTCTTTCACTCATCCATATGCATAAATAAGCTGCTAATATGAGGCAACTGATGGTTACAACTTGATAGTGTCAAACTACTCATCATACTTCTAGTCATATGGCTGCAATATCTGTTATGAGAAGAGCACCTAGCTTCCTTATTTATTCAGTCACAAAGCTGCTTTTTTATACAATAAAAGAGATCAGTCTTCTCGACAGACATCCCTGCCAGTCCATTCCCCCTTGCTCCGTTGCCCTCTCTTATCATGCGTGAACTTATTTCTTCTCGTTTTTCCTAGATTGAGAGCCCTGGTGGTGCAGTGGTTAGAAAGCAGTATTGCAGGCTAATTCTGCCCACTACCAGCAGTTCGATCCTGACCACCTCAAGGTTGACTCAGCCTTCCATCCTTCCGAGGTCAGTAAAATGACGACCCAGATTGTTCACTCCATATGCTGACACTCTAAATGGCTTAGAAAGTGCTGTAAAAGCACTATGAAGCGGTATATAAATTTTAAGTGATATTACTATGCTAGATCTGCCAGCTAGCAAAAAAAAAAAAAGAGGACTGATCCCACAGTAAGTTCTCTCCTTCTTCAGAGGGCATGTGGGGAAAGAGAGGAAAAACAGCTCAAACAGCAGCTACAGAGCCCTACTATTCCTAAACATTCTCCCTGAACATCGTTATTTTAGTGGCCAAGTACCTGCAATTAAGGGGAAGGAAAGTGAAAAATTAAGACCAATGTAATCCAATATTATTTAAACCAGTAATGCTTAGAAACAAATCACATCAATTAAAAAGGTGTACCTTTTCCTTTTTCAAGTGCCACAGGTAGTGGGTGATAATTATGTGCACCATATTTAGCTTCACGCTCAAATATGTAGTCTGAGGATGGTGGGCCTTGGACTGTTTTCTTGGTTGCAACCGATGTAGCCGTACTTGCTGAAGTACGGATACCCCGATGCAGAACTGCCAAGCGTTGTGGATGGGCCAGTTTAGAAAGCATGATTGTAGTACAGTTGTAATCTGAAACCAAAGAAAAATGGTAAGAAATCTGTAGATTCCTAGGGAGCCACAGCTTTATCAGAAAAATTATATATATATAAATACTTAACATTAAATCCCAGAAATAATAGTCAATGGATTCAAGAGTTTGAACAACTTATTAACATTTTTGAAGCATTTTAATATTGTTCAAGCAAACTAAATCTGAAGGACACTGTTAAAACCTTTCCAAAACAGTGGGCAAATTTCTAAAGCAGCCTTTCCCAGGCTCCCACCCTCCAATATATTGGAATGAATCACAGAATTCACTGCATGTGAGCACTGGAGCATGCTGAATTAAGAAAACTGCCCTAGAAATAAATTGGACAATGAGGAAAATGAAAGACTCAGTCCCATATTTCTACTTTCTATAAGATCCAGAGACACTCTGAACAAATGGGGCTATCCAGTGGCTTCTATTCTTTGATTGTGGTGACCTGCAAACAACACATGTGTATACTTGAGTACCTCTTGACAGCCTGACAGAATGCAATTAATGTTATTAGTTTTTATCAATCAGAATAGACCTGGAAGGCACCTTGGAGATCTTCTAATCCAATTCCCTGCTCAGGCAGGATACCATTTCAGACAGGTGGCTGTACAGTCTCTTCTTAAAAATATCCATTGATGAAGCACCTACAACTTCTGAAGGCAAGCTGCTCCATTGGTTAATTATCCTCACTGTTAGGAAGTTTCTCCTTAATTCCAGGTTGTTTTTCTCTTTGATTAGTTTCCAGCCATTGTTTCTTGTCTTTCCTTCTGGTGCTTTGAAAAATAAATTGATCCCCTCTTCTTTCTGGCAGCCCCTCAAATATTGTAATACTGTATCATGTCACCCCTACTCCTTTTCTGTAGACTAGCCATTCCCAATTCCTGCAACCGTTCTTCATACTTTTTAGTCTCCAGGCCTTTAAACATCTTAGTTGCTCTTCTTTGCACTTTTTCCAAAGTCTCAACATCTTTTTTGTAACGTGACCAAAACTTGATGCAGTTTTCCAGGTGTGGTCTTACTAAGGTTTATAAAGAGTTACTAATACTTCATGTGATTTTTATTCTATCTAGGCAAGATCTGTTTAATCTGTACATATTTTAATCTTGTATTTTATATTTTAAATGTTATGCCATATAGTATGCCTTATTTTAATTGTGATGTTTCTGACATCAATAAAGAAACATTCTCAATCTTCTAATAGATTACAGGCAGGTGTGTTTCTGCAGAGGAATGGCTACTTGCTAGCAAGTGTGTTTGTGTATCAAAACATCAGAAATATGAAGATGGATAGACCTTTGACGGAAATGATTGAAACTGAATGACAGAATACAGGTAGTCTTTGATTTACAACAGTTTATTCAGTTACTGGCACTGAAAAGTGACTTATGACTGTTTTTCACAGTTACGACCTTTGCAGCATCTCCATGATCATGTGATCAAAATTCAGATTCTTGCCAACTGGTTCATATTTATGACCGTTGCAGCATCCCTGGATCATGTGATCCCCTTTTGCGATCTTCTGACAAGAAAAGTCAATGGAGAAACCAGATTCACTTAACAATCTGAGCAAGAAATGTCGTAAAATGGGGAAAAACTCACTTAACAAATGACTTACTTAGCAACAGAAATTTTGGGCTTAATTGTAGTCATAAATCGAGGACTACCTGTATATTACCTACTAGAAGATATGTAACTTTTATCAGGGTTTCTTGACTTAGGTTTGTTTTTGTCAGCCCAGTTCGATTTTCTCCTACCACTCAAAAATCATTTCTCTTTGGAAAGCTAGTTATTTAAAATAACAGATTTCATTCCTAATTTTGTCCAGGCAAAACAGGAACATGTTTTTGCAGAACTGCCTGCTTTGCTTTCGCAAGCCTGATCAGCTCGGAAAAAGGTTTTGCAACCTCCCCACCACGAAATGCTTGTGACTTTCCTGAAGGGTTGCTAATCTACAATTTGGGAATCCCTGGCTTACCAGTGTGCACGAACCTAACTAATTATGGTTTATTCAACAATCTTAAGATTAAACAAAGCATGGTTTAGCACAAGTCTGGACAACATGTTTTGGTTTGGATCTATGCTCTACTTTTTCATATATTTTGAGGCTGAGTGGCAAAGAAGTATGGCTATGCCACTGGAGTGACAGAGTTGATATTCTAGGCCTCAGTTGAGTGGTGAATATACAAATATATACAGAACAAAATACATGCATTAGTCTGTGATACCTTGAATCTCAAAAAAAAAAAATGTACAAATAAAAAATTGTAATTGTACTATTGAATTTCGGCAGTATGATGTTAGTGGGCTCAGGGATGGGGAGGACAGGATCTACATATGGATTATTGTCCACTAAGTAGACCTGATCAGAATATTAACTTGACGAATAAGTTAAAACTCTATTTATTGAGATTAGTTCTAACAATATAATCTTGCAAGTCTGATTGTGCGATACCTCCTCCTCCTTATTGTTCAATGAATGAGGGAGATGACTGATCCACTTCTGAACATTATCTCGACACTCTTGACTTTAAAAATGTTTTGGCCCCTATTGCCTTGGTAACAGACTCTTCATATCTCCATCAAGTCATCTTTCTTAGTCAACTTAGTCAACTTTACTAGGAGTGGCCATCCCGATGTTTGCACATTATGCAAACGTAGTCAGTATGAAACATTTGTTTTAATATGGAGACAAAGCCATTAATTGTGAGCGGAAGCATCCTGAGTTTCACAATTCTCCCACAGATGTCACATGATTATCTTGAACAAATAACCATTTGTCTGTACTTTTAATCTTTTGTATCATTCTAAGTAAAAAAAATATCAGTAAGGTACCATAAATGTATTCTAAACAAATAAAGCTACCCTTGGAATTTCTCACCAAGTGTTGCAAGAGAGAGGAAAATCACTGTGTTTTGCTGAAATACTTTAGTTTCTTATCTACATGTTCAAAGCTTTGGTTCAAATATGCTTGACAGGTCACAAGTGGATTACCTGATCAAATATTAGCTAAATATATCTACTGTTAAGCGTCCTTGTTTGGCAGGCACTAGAGACCTGCAAAGAAGCAACATGATAGAATCATTCTATAAAATTTCCCCTCTCCACAATTACTGCTGCGGATTGAAAAACCCTTGAAAAAGGAAGATCAGATAGTAGTACTACATTATATTTTTGACATATATATAAACATTTACAAGGAACTGATATTCACAAAGACACCTACTTGTTTATGATGTTATGCTTGATACATGATTATTTCCTTGATACATCTATCCATATATCTATCTATAAACTTTCAGGCCTACAATCTTTAACAGATGAAATGGTGCATCGTAGTGAAATGATTTTTGAACCAAGACATTTCAAATGGGCTAATTTATAGAATGTGTCCAAAATCTGGATCCCATGCCTCTGTGGAATTGAAATTTGGCATTTTATAACATAATACAAAATGTCATAAAAGATTTCCTGCACCGATGTTAAACTGCTATATAGTTTAATGTAGGCCATTTTCAAGGCAGATACAGCTTTGAACATAGCCCAATTTTTCCAGTGAAGGCAGCACATTAGAAGTTCCGTTACTATTGAGAGCACTGAGGTATCTGTTAAGGAAATATCCCTGAAAGGATGGCCTAGTGCAGGGTGGGCAAATGTGGCTCTTTTACAACCTGTGGACTTCAACTCCCAGAATTCCTGAGACAGCTGTCTCAGGAATTCTGGGAGTTGAAGTCCACAGGTTGTAAAAGAGCCACATTTGCCCACCCCTGGCCTAGTGGGTCACAAGTTGTTTAGTTAAACATAAAACCAAATAATTTGCTATGGAAAGGATGCTATTTTTTTAAATAATGATACTCTCCGAAGCAGCCATTTGTGTTCAAAGGATCCTAAGTGTTTCACTTGATGGATATTTAGCTAAATATGAATTATAAGGCTCCTTGGAAAGATTCGGTATTTTTGCAGTATTTCTGGATCAGCTAAAAATGTATTTAAAATTCTTCTAATAATATGTTAATGCAAGATGACTACAAACAAGAAAAAACATCCTTCTCCATTGGTTTCAGTATTTCCGTATTCCTGGATAGTGCTAAACAGCTGCCAAGGAGCTTATATAACTATTCTAGTTGTTCAGGATGTATCAGTAAGTACTGTTGTTAATATTAACACAGGATATTAATGCACCTCAAATATCTAGAGACTTCAAGGAAAAATATCACATAAGATCTGGATGAGATCCAGGTTTAACATTGCGTAATTCAAAGTTGCATCAGTCTGAGTGTAATAGGACTATAGAAGACTGGCCATTCATACTTCCTCAAATTAGCTTGTTTTGTAAGAAAGGTGACACTAAGATTTATCTTAATATTAAAATCTGATACACACACATACACCTGAAAATTATGGACACATTTTAAATACAGAAAGCAAGAGAACTATTTTTAAAACTTCCTTTATAAAAACCAAATTTCCCCTTGCTTTAAAAAAAATCAAAACTGAATTATATTACTCATGTAGCATATATACTATTTTTAATCCTCTTTTCCTGGGAGGTTGAAAAGGCATTTTCAATATGAAGTAAAACCACTGAAAGTGGCGCCTTAAAAATCCCTTGTCATAGTTAATCCTTAACTATTTGGCACCAAGATATGTCCATTAATAGGGTTGAATAATTAAACCCTTGTAATAGCCATACCTTGGTGCCAAATAGTTATACAAGACATAAAATTTGCCTCCAATATTAAAGGAAACAAATGATGTTAATTTTCAAAACATGCAAAAGAAGTAATATTTTTATGGTTCAAAACCTAGCCCCGGCATATCAACCAGCATAGGACAGACCTGGCGGAACAAAACAAACACTATTATTTCTTGGGAAACTGGAGACCAGTATGGAAAATTTGTTTAAGATACGTATCTCCCTCGCACTTTTTGGACATGTTGGTATAATATCTCAAAAAGTCTCAAAAGCTAACATGTCCAAAAAGTGCGAGGGAGATATGTATCTTAAACAAATTTTCCATAAACATGAGACAAACATGAGCAACATTCCATAAACATGAGCTAACATGAGACAAAAAAGTGTATATGTTTCAGACCTAATTAAATCAAATTGTTCTCAAAAAGATTTTTCATCTCTCACTGCCACCCCTGGGATACTGGAACAGCTTGCCTTGGAAAAAATATTGCCATATCTAATAACCAGTCGTGAAACCTCTTATTCTTAGGTAAAGAAGATGTGTAGAAGATCCTCAGTAGATGTGTAAGGAGTGCAAACCAATATCAAGACACAGCCATCCCTGGAGACCTTTGATTTTTTGCTAAAAATTACAAAGACCCAGGCAACGCAGAGGATTGAAGGATGCTGTTATGCAGTTATTTTTATTTTATCAAGACCGACTGCAGCTGAATAAAACAGAAGCCTTTCGCTGCATGCACCCACACTCCTGACATGCTCAGGATATATGATCGTACTCCAGACCATCCATCCATCCATCCGTCAATCAGAATAGAGGTGGAAGGGAAGAGTGACCAATGTGGCATCGAATTCAACAGGAGGGCTTGGGAGGAAGTTATGCAACTAACAAGGCAAAAATTGAGAAGGGCTTTGCAGGATCCCCCAACAGGAACAAGCTCTACCCGGATCTCCTCCAAGTACCAGCCTCTCTTTTCTCACCATCCAGAAACTCCCGGGAAATGGACTTTTGGAGAAAGTCAGCATCCTCTCCCTTCCCCAGACCCCAAACCGGACGCTAACCGGCACCCGATCCCTCCGCGATACCTCCGAGATCCGGCTCCCTTTCCCCGGGCTTCCAAAACACTTCGAGGAAACGTCAGCTCGGCTTCTCCCGGTGCCCGTCAGAGCAAAAAAGGCCGATCACGTCACAAACCTACGAATAAGACTTGCCGCCTGCGAGGTGCCTCATTGGTTTCGCTTCCCCGATCACACCAATCACGGCACGGCTTTCTTGCCCTGCCCCCCCTAGCTTCCGTTGTCTATTGGCTGGCTCCGCTGTCCTTGACCTTTTTAGATCTTAACTCCGCTCCTAACCAATCAGTTTGTGCCAGTTTTTTTTAAAAAAAGTACTGTACCTTGGGTGACAATATTCGATAGGCTAGCAGGGTCTCCTCCCGTTTGGAGCCACTGGCACTTTTCCCTGCTGTAAAGTAATCACTAGCTCGAGTTGCTTTGCGGGGTGGGGAATGGCTTTCCTTTCTGAAATTAGAAAGGAATCTGGAAAGGGAAGAACTGAAGGACTAGAGGTGGCATGATAGCAGTGTTACAACATTTAAGGGGCTGCCACAAAGGAGGGGGGGTTAACTTATTCTCCAAAGCAAGACAAGAGCCTTGGTAGTACAGTGGTCTAAGGCACCCTGTTATTAAGCTGGTTATTAAGACCAGCTGCCTGCAATTACTGCAGGTTCGAATCTCGCCAAGGCTCAAGGTTGACTCAGCCTTCCATCCTTTCTAAGGTAGGTAAATTGAGGAACCAATTGTGGGGGCAATAAGCTGACTTTGTATAAATATACAAAAGGATGAAGGCTATTGCTGAGCACATTGTAAGCCGCCCTGAGTCTCTGGAGAAGGGTGGCATATAAATCAATTTTTTTTAAAAAAAAGAACCAATCTAGAAATAAAGAGAAATTTCCTGACAGAGATGTTTAAGAAGAGATTGGACAACCCTTTGTCTGAAATGGTATAGGTCAGGGTTTCCTGCTTCAGCAAAAGGTCACAAACCTCTAAGGTCCCTTCCAACTCTGTTGTGCCAGAGTGTGGAAATACTGCCTGAAGAAAGAGCTAAGCCATTCTTTCCAAATGTAGTCCCTCCAAAAGATGTGGATGTGCCCACAATCCATTCTGGCTTAAGAAAACTGCAACATTACCTAAAGGTTTAAGTGGGTCTTCCAGATCTGGGCTGTAAAACTCCAAAGTATTACTAGATGACAGCAGTGTTTGCCACTGCTGTTTGCCATTGTCTAATGACTATCCTGTTTTCTGTAGCACAGATTAATATTTTATTTATATTTGTGTAGCTGCCCCTTTTGCAAGGCAGTAACTCTGGGTGGTGTACAACACTTAATTTTTTTTAAAAAAAATAACCTATTACTACTATTTGATTTTTATCCTACCCTTTTTATATATAATTCAAGGCAGCAAAAATAACTGAAACTCTTGCCTACTATTTTCCCCACGTCAACTCTAAGGTGGGTTGAATCAGATATTTATTTAGCTATTTATTTGATTTATATCCTGCTTTATATCCTTAATTGTAAGTGTACAATTAAGGCAATTTGCAAAATGTTCCCATCTCCTATTTTCTCCACAACAATGTTGTGAGGTGGGTTGGTCTAAGAGATAGAGACTGGCCCAAAAACTAGTTTTTGTGCTTAAGGCAGGATCAGAACTCATCAGCTTGCATGATCCCATATTCCCTGTGTTGTCTTCCCTGAAAATGTTCTCTGGAGCAATTTTTATATATTATTCACCTGTAATAATATTGCAACATTTTGTTAAAGTCTGTGCATAAATTAATACAATTTGATGACACCCCGTTCTCTCTCTCTCAAAGGTATAAATTGAAGACAGTAGGTAGGTATTAAGAAATGTAGAGGAAAAATTCTATTCACTTATTTGTTCTTTATCTCATTTGTTTCCCAAATTCAACTCAACAGTTTCTCTGGTTATCAACCAGATGAAAACTGGCAGCAAGTTGTAATCCTAACAGATTGGAACACACACAGGTTGCACAGTTTTTTCCTTTACAAAATTGGTCATGTTTTGAAATTATTTGTAGTTTTTGTTGGAGACTACCGTAAAATTCCTGATTTCTATTTTGTTTCCTCTTTTTTGAATACACCAATGTTCTCTGTTGAATTAATACTAATAATGTCATTCCTATAAATATACTTTTTTATTTTATATGTATATGTTAAGGCAAAACAGATGCCTCTCGCAGTATGTAAACCATGCTTATATAAGTTACAGCAATATGGTTTATTCGCAAGTTTTGTAAAGTACTTAGCCTTAATATTTCATTTAGCGGTGATATAGATCTGGAAGATCAATTCATGTAATACCTAGAGGTTTTCATGAGAGACCCATTTGCACATAAAGACTTCTTTTATTTTCCTAGTTTTTCCTTGCAGCAGTTTCCTTAATGCATACTTTATGTTGCTCAATTGCACTGTATATTCCCTTCTATCTATATCTCTTCTTTAATTTTGTCCATTTTGTCCTTTTTGAGGTCCTGACCTTAACTGACTTCTTAGCATTTGCTTACTTAGTTTTTGCCAACCTGGCAATGTTTCATGGCTCAGAAATAAATTACAACACCAGAGACTTCGCTGATTAAATGTCCTCAGATCTCCCCACCACCATAAAAATATTTTTGGAAACATCTGTGAAAAATCTCAAGTAAATCTCCCCTTCAGGATAAAATAGATTGCAAATTACTTCCACTGAGTTTAATTGGATTTATTTCCAAGCAAGTACAAATATACAGTGCAAGCATAATCTAATCTTCCTTTCAAAAGGTATAGTTTCTACATCTGGTCCGATTCCTACAAATCTAAATAAATTTATGTAATCCTTATGATAGCTTCCCACTGTAAAGTACTGATACTTGACAGCATGTAGCAAACCTATAAATGTTCTAAAGGTAAAATATCACAGTATATCTTCTCACAAGGGATGAAGAGTGTCTTGGCTTCAGGAAAAGGCTGAGCTCAGATACTTACAGTAATCATAATAACCACATAAAGCTCAGCCACTGGAAGAGAAGAAAGCATGGCAATATGAAAGAAAGGTAGCAAGAAAAACCTTACTAGTTTTACTATTTTAAGTCTATATTACAGAGATTGGGTTTAGAAATAGTACTGCAATAGGACCAGGAAGCAAGCCTTTTCTTCTCCAGTGGAACAGAATCTCCCCAGAAATTAATTTGGCAGCCACCTTCCCCCATCCTGTGAGGATTGTGATTTGTGAAATAAAATAATGCCAATAAAGAAACAATATTTGTAGCTCAGGGTTGAAATGGGGCCGGGGGTCCCTTGTAGCTCTCTGAACTTGATTGTTTTCTTGCAGAGGATTCAATGCTGCAATGATGATGTTACCTAGTTGGGTAATGAATCCTCTTGCAAGAAAACAACCAAACTCAGAAAGCACCAAGGACCTCTCAAATAAACAATCTATTTTTAACTAATGATTTACAATATTGTATGCTTGTTTTTTATGTATGTATCATCAGAAGTCAGACTCAGATATGGCCAGTGTTTTTACTAGATGTCTAGTAAAAATAAAAATTATACTGCATGTGTCAGAATATAATTGGGAGTTTATATCATGACTTCAGATCATGACTTCAAACTATATAATTCGCACAAAAATGTCATACACATAACCCACAGATGCCCAGGGATACAACAATAAAAGAATATTATAAATAAAAAAACCAAACAAATCAATTTTAGAAATTCAGGAATTATCTAAGAGGTATTCCTGATGTGTACATGGCATAACCTATTGACTGCTGGGAAATGCAGTTTTCTGATCATAGAATCTCTACTTTAAAAATTGAGCCTAAATCTTGCCATCAAAAAAGTAGTAATTAGCTGTGCCATTTAAGGAAAGTATTCTCCACAAAAACATGTTTCTGAAATCTTGATATAATTACTTATGAAGAAATTTTAAATAGCACTGCCTTTTTGCAATTTAGATTATAATCCTATGGCCATTATCTGATAATAAAACCACTGAATGCAGTGAAGCTTAATTCTGAACGAACATATGGGGCATATTCAAAGAGACCAAAATAATTGTGCACATATATTATTCTGATATATCCAAGAGCATGGAATGAGATCTCCAATATGCCTTCCTCTCTTCTAGTTGAAGGGACATATAGTGTTGTGTGTTCAAACCAAAAAGATGTCTCCCAGCCATCTCCAAGAGAAGTACTGGTAAGTGAAAATAGATCTACAGTATTTTTATTTGTTCTGCTGAAACTTATGTTTCATTGGGATATGCTATCTGGCCATAGTTTGTCTGATCTTTTAAAAAATTACAATTAAACTTTAAAGAGTAATATCTAAATAGGATAGTTTGAAGATTTTTCCCCTCCCCGTTTCTTTATTCATGTCATGTAATGTCATGTTTGAATTACCGATAAGTGAGCTCTTTGGAAATATAGTGTAATATGTTTAAATTGATTCAAAATAAGAATATTGATATCTCTGAGTTCCTGTCCCATTGCTGTTGCTCAGGTAGCCCCTCTTAAATCTCAAAAGGTGGAAGAAAACAGGTTCTTGGTGCATGAGAAAGTGCTTTGCTGAATATTATATGTGGGGATTAACTCTCACATATACTAATTTGTGGGCCATAAGCATTTACCTTTGCTTAAGGGGAAAATGAGGGCACCTATGCTTGAATGATAGCACATTAATTCTCTATATTATTATTTAATAGTAAAGCATATGGGAACAGACTTATTTCAGTGTAAATCACATGGTCAGTTTTAAGAATATAATTAATAGGCTGGACTACTAGAGTATCATTAGATTTTGGAGAGGGAGACTCAATTCTTTCATTGTTCTGCTCTGTTCTTAATAAACATATCTATCTCCATGCCTTCCCATTGTTATTTTTATTGACAGAAAAAGTCTAATATTTTAGAAGATTCCAGGCTTGGTGTGTTCAGGAGCTGTGGGAGAAAATGAGATTATGCTTGAGCTGTTTTGAAGAAAGATCCTATATTTTTGTTTTAAAAAGTATTACATTGATTTTCCATCACAAATTAATATTAAATATGGGGAAGTAAGCAGCAGACTGTGTGTGCATGAGTAATTATGGGTATTGATTGGGGAAATTCAGGGTATTAGTACCATAAAAACAATTACTAGGTTGCAGAAATTTTGTCTGGATACTAGAAACCATGTAGGAAAAAGACTCCTTGTATGTATGGCTGTCCTTAATAAGTTACAGTTCCTTTGTGGTAATAGTTACTGAAATAAAAGTACAAAAAAATAAATTTTAATCCATGCATCAGTTGCACAAGCCTACAAAGTATTGACCAGTATTTTTAACTCTGTCCTATCATGACCATTCAACTACATGTAAGTAAATTGACTTTTGAGTTAATGTTCAAACATTCTTGTACAAAAGCTGTCAAATAGTGTTCGTAACATAGCTCCATAGACATAATCACGCTGACATCAATAGGATGTTACTTTTGTAAATGGGACACAGAAACTACCCCTGGTATCTGAGGTCTAACTTTGGCTGGTTGTTAGCTATAAACTTAGTTTTGTTATCTTATCTCTTTATTTAAACATAGAACATATCTCCAAGTCTGGAACAGTTCCAAACAGAATACAATATACTGGATTCTACAAAGTAAAGCACAAATGTATGTGACATTAGAAACTCTGGATAGCATCCTTTGTATTATAAAAAATCACTCCAGCTCTGTTTCAGAGTCCCCTTATTCATTCCCATACTCATACGTGGGATGGGGCACTTAAACCCTGTGCTAAAATCTTCTCTGAAAACATCATCAAATAAGCCAAAAGTAGATGGTTAAGGAGATGGCTTCACTGTTATCTACAGCAAAACACCAGAAATCAATGGGGTTCATCTGTGAACTAACAATAGAGCAGTTGACATTAAATGAGGACCTAGTCTCTTCATTAGAATCAATCCGATCCCTTAGTGGGAGAAGCAGCTAATTGTTCTCCATTTCTAGGAGTTTCAGGGTGCTGGGATTAAGTCCAGAAATGTTGTTTTTCAATAATGGGTCTGTTTGTCCACTGGAGGTTTATTTGTCTCCAACATTATATGCCTTCTGGAAAAAGTTGGGCAGAGCTTTTTCTGGAGGTCTTTGTGTTTTGTTTGAGTATTTAATAGTATTTGTTTTTATGTACTGTTATTGTGTTTGTTTATTTTTCTGAGCCAAGAGTCTTTGCAGTGGAATATAAATTTGATTAATAAATACATAAATACATCAAAGTCTTCCAAAGAAATAAGCTATTTTGCAAAAGCCAAATGCAGCGGCTCCTGTTCTAGTCCGTCAGGAAGTCATCGTCTCTTCCCGCAAGGATCTGCAGCTACCATAGAGACAGTTTGCATCTGGATTTGTAGAGATCAATCCAGAAGCAGTACAGAACAGTCAATGTAGAATAAACCTGAAGCAGTTGTAGAATCTTATAGCCAAAACCAGAAAGTTTAATTTCTAAAGTGTCATACACAATTATAAAAGTACGTTATCTCTTTTTCTATAAGCATTTTGTTCACCTAGGGAGGAGACATAATAGGCAAAAAAATAAAATATTCCTTGTTCATCAGAAAGCGTCATATTTTCTCTAACCATTATTGCACAAAAATAACTGCAATGAGCACATTCCACAACTATCACTGAAGTGGTAAGAGAACTTGTCTCCATTTCTGTTATTCGACACAACAATGCCAAATGTCGAAATATTCTTCATCTTGGCAGGGTTTTTAAAAAAAAAATCTAAGAAGATGAATCCTTCATGTGGTTATCCAACACTAAAGTTGGATTTCAAATAATAATAAAGGATTCTTTTCATAGCAGCTAGAATTTCTGTTTCCATTACTGTTCCTCCCCCCTACCTTATAAGCATGTGAGCTTTAGATACATACTGAACAAAAGGATGTAAATTAGGGACAACAAAAATTCAATTTAGTCTAAACTGAATTATATTAAATTGAAGGCAATGAAATTAAACCCTTAAAACATTAAAGAGACACATTTCAATTAAGAAAATGACATTTTTTTGAAATGTCAATCAAAACATGCTACATTTTAATGTTAATAGAATTACATTGAAAAGAAATGGGATTTAAATTAAAATTAAATCGATGAAATTGACTCTAGTATTAATTGCTACACACAATACTGGATTTGATAAACAAAGTGAACTTCATTGTCTTTAGACAAAAAGGCTTAATACTCTCGGTTATAAAATGTTTTAAAGTCTGAACATAGAGGACAAACGCATAACCAGACTTAATTTTCCTTAGTAAAATAGCTTTTTTAAAAGGTTGATATTGCCATGGTTTCCATTAATTGAACAGGATGTTCATACTTGTCTTCAAAAGCATATATCACTGTCCTAAGAAAAGAAAAGACAGCTGATCCTGAAAGACCCCCACAAGGGAACAGCAACAGTAACTATTCACCAATAAACTGCTTCCCACAATATGGAAAGTTATATCAAGGCATTATAACCACTAAGCTAAAGGACCATATGGGCCAGTACATGAGTACAGCTCAGAAGGACATTGGGAATAACACCAGAGGCTCAAAACCTCAGTTGGTCATAGACAGAGTAGTCACCCTTGACTCAACTTCTAAGCAAACCAATCTGAGCACAGTCTGGATTGACTATAGGCAATCCTATGACTCAATGCTACATACATGGCTCTGTGAATGCCTGACGCTATAAAAATCAATAGAACGCTAAGAACTTTCCTGAAGAATTCAGTGGGAACTGTGGAAAACACTAGAAGTCAACTCAAGACAATTTACACAACTAGCCATCAAGTGTGGCATAATATGCTAATTGGCATTCTACACCTCAGCTTTCTATCGGATTGGATACCAGATAGATACCAGATCTATCAGATTTGGATACCAGAATGGATTTCAAGAGCTATAAAATTCACTGTTACTTGTCATGTTTCTATTTTAAGATTCTGGAAAATAGGCAGTAAGATGATGATGCTTTAAGTACAAATAACTTAATAAAAAGACAGATTGGGAATAATCTGGTTTTATTGGGAATAAAAAGACAGATTTTTATTCTTTGTTCAGGAAAGGCTCAGGTTGAGTTATTTAATATAAGAAAGAAATCAGGAAAAATAAAGAGGGAGACAACTTTTCAGAAAATTATGTCTCTATTAATAATAAAATTTAAAAGTATAAGTAGGCTCACACATGGCTTAGGACCTGGCTACTTACGGGACCGCCTACTACCACAAACAGCCTCCCACCGGCCGGTACGCTCTCATAGAGAGGGGCTCCTCCAGGTGCCATCAGCCAAACAATGTCAACTGGCGGCCCCTAGGGGGAGGGCCTTCTCTGTGGGGGCACCTGCTATCTGGAATGAGCTCCCCCTGGAGATACAGAGGATCCCGGATCTGTGCACTTTCCGCCATGCTTTGAAGACACTCCTATTCCAGCAGGCCGGCCTGGCCTAATTTTTCCCCGTCTTTTAAATTTTTAAACTCAAATTTTAATTCGTTTTAAATTATTGGGAGTTTTAAATTGTCTCAGGCAAAAATTATTTAATTGGGTTTTAATCATGTTTTAACTTTTGTATTTATGTGTTTTATTTCGTGCCTGTTCACCGCCCTGAGTCCTTCGGGAGTAGGGCGGTATACAAATTTAATAAAATGAAATGAAAAAAAATGAAAATGATAAACCTGTCTTGGTTCATGAATCAAGATAAGTTACCTTGAAATAAGATGGGTGACCAATAAATTTAATAAATAAATAAATACTTTCATGTGTTATCTGACCAGCCAATGAGACAGGGTTCCTATTTCATACGAACCATAATGTAATGTGTTTGATTTTGGCTTAAGGTGTTATATGTACACAGCTATTATGGGTTGTAAAGTATCATCTATGACCTAAGATATTGAGAACATGAGACCTGTCGTGCCAGATCAGGCCTGGCTCATCTAGCCAGCCTTTCGTACAATGGTGTGGTGGAAGCCACAAAGCACCAGCCCGCCAGACCTGATAGTTACGTTTTCTGGATTTTTACAAGTCAGTTGAGAGAAGGCCTAACACATTGAGTAACTGTTCTGAAGCTGATACTTACATTAGCAGTGGAGCCAGCAGAACCAGTTCTTAAAGATTAACCTGCACACTACTTGCTTCCTTCTTGGGTGACCCACCAGGTTCATCTTGGAAGTTTACAAACAGGAGATCAAAGCAGTCCTTTTCTCTTGTGCATATACATTGGTGGATTGCCCCAGGCTTGGAGGCAGCACCCAGCCATCAAGGTAATAGCAATTGATAAGATCTGTTCTCTAGGAAATTGTCTAGTCTTCTTTGAAGCCATGTTGAAAACTCAGCCAGGTGTGTGGGTGGTTATGTGGGTGTGTTCAATTAGATTAAATAAATTATTTCTGAGCATTTGAGAAAACGTTATTCTAAAGCAGGGATGTCAAACTCACAGCATCATGGCAGCGTCATGTAATGTATCGGGACTTTTTCCCCCTTCACTAAACCAGGTGTGGGCATGGCCAGCACGTGACGCATCCAGCCCGGGGCTGGGAGTTTGACAGCCCTGTTCTAAAGCATGAGAATGTAACAGTTAGATAAAGCAGTAGAAGTTCCAAGAAAGAATCAATAATAACTAGGAATCTTCCCATATGAGACAATTATGCAATTACTTCGTTCATTCGTTAAATTGGATGGAGTTAGAGAGTTAGACACATCCTTCTCATATTTCCTATTTCTGTTTCTTCCCACTTTTTTTTTTTAAACGAGAAAAGAAAATTGCTCAGGCAGGAGAAAGAGAAGGGCGACAAGATACCTTTTGACTAGTAGAATTAGCACCGCTCCATTCAGAAACACCTTAAACTTTCTTCAGGATATAATGCTAAGTTGTCAAAGGTCCCTCACCATCTGAAGTTTACCGAGCAACACAGTGTCCGTTCAGCACTTTTCCCCTCATGATTACACAACATTGGCCTTAGCTTACCCCTAACCCATGATTTACAGAGTCTTATGCTACTTAAGAAGTAGAAATAAAAATAGCTTTTTGCCCCACCCCTGCTCCACCACAGCGG